AGAGAGAGAGAGAGAGAGAGAGAGAGTGAGAGAGAGAATGCGGGGGCTGCCCCAGTCAATACTTGAGTCTAATTATTTATGAGACCTTCTAACCCTCCTCTGTGTCACGTGCCCAGACTGCCCTGGGGACTGCTGATTTATTTGGCATCACTGATGGTGAGGAAGCCAGGATGGCACTGGGAGAGCCTAGTTCACACCTCAGCTTTGCCTCCACCTGGATGTGTGACCCTAGGCAAGTCACTTTGAGTCCCCCTAGAAAGAGGAACAGACTGATCAAAGTCATATACAGAATGTCTGAGCTTGAACTCAAATCCGCGTGACCCCAAAGCCATGGAGCTTGCCAGCATGCCAGGCCACCCTCTCCCCCATGACTACATTTTTGTTGGCTTTGGGGCAGGAGAAGAGCCCCCTACTGTTTTTAGCCTCCCATTTTGCTACTCAGCATGGACAAAGGTCTGAATTGCCTGAGCTCCATTCCCACAAGGCTCTGCGTTCAGGCTGCTGTGGTTGTGACCCAGAGATGTGACCAGCTCAGTCAGGCCCTGAGCGCCCTCTACTGGGTGCCGCCCTGGGGGCGCACTGCCTCCAGACTGGTCAGCGGGTGTCCCATCCCCACCAGCAATTCGTGTGGGTTCCCCAGTGCCCCCAGGAAGCCCCCTCCCTGGCCAAGGCGCATCCATGACATTGCCCAGCCATCTCTCTTCAGGCCTGGGAGAGGCCTCTGTGGCCAAAACTGTCCTCTGGTGTCTCCCAGGCCACTGTGCATCCAGTTCCTGTTTACACCTGTATTTTTCTCTTTTTGAAGGGGGAGCAGAAAGATCAAGAAGAGCAGATATGGAAAATAGATGTTTTCGGAAAAGACTTCAAGAAAATGGGGAGGGGGGCAAAGCTGGGAGGAGGAAACATTCAGAATTTGGAGGACCCAGAGGCCTCTGGATAGAGTCAGGTTTAGGAAACTAGCTCCCCATTCCCCAGAGGGCTAAAGACCCCCCACCTTCCCAGGGAGAGACCCCTGCCAAATCACATCCAGGTGGGCATGGTGCCAGGCTCTCAGAGAGGTTGCCCACCCCCCACCGGGCACACTTCCTCCTCCCCTCCCCCAGCCCCAGCGGATGCAGCAGTTCACACTCTGTATTTATTATTGTTCTCACTCTGCGTCCCCCTCCCCTCTCCCTGGGAAGAGCTTGCAGGCTGGCAGCTTGGCAGGAACCTGCTGTCTTCTTATGGGTGCCAGCCTCGCCCCTTATCTCTGCCTGGACTCCTTGTGCCAGGGTCAGACCACTCAGGGACTTGGTGCCAGCCAAGGCCACCTTGAGTCCCTGCATCCCATGTCAGGGGTGGCCTGGCAGGCCGTGGCTTATCACCCCCACCCTCCAGGGGCTGTGCCCTGGCAAGGGTGGAGGTCAGAGTGAGACCAGCAGGCAGGGGAGAGGCAAGGGCTCTGGGGGTGGGTGGCTCCCAGGCAAAGAGAAGAATAACATGGAGCCACCTCTCCAAGCCAATTAACACAATTATCCCCATCACACTGAGGAAAAAATAGAGTCAGGGTAAGACAGCTGCTTCAAGTCCAACTGTCTGCCTGCTCCAGCTGCTCCCTCCCCAGCCCCAGCCCCAAATTCCAGGGAGACCCCCCACCTTCCCAGGGGGAGGCCCCTGATGCTCCCTGCTGCCCTCTCCTTTCAGCATCTGTAAGGGGCACTGTGATTTCTTCGGTCCATGCCCCCCCCCCACCGGCCACCTCTCCCCGGGTCCCAGACAGGAGGCTGCGGCTTGGCAGGTATCTGCTGCTTTCTGCCTTCTGAGCCAGACACAAGTCCCAGACACAGACATACTCCCATGGGGAGCCACATAGCCTCCGTTCCCTTGGGGGTCAAGAGGAGAGAAGGAGGGAGGGAGGGACGGGGGGGGGTTCCTCTACACCTTCAGCATCCTCTCTGTAAGCTTAACTGGGCTGGTCCAGCCCCCACCTTTGCAAACCCGCCCCCCCATGTTGTACCTCCCTCCTTAGCCCCTGCCAAAGCCACAGTTTCTAACACAGTGTCCTCAGGCCCCTTCCAGTCCCTCACCTCTCCCGGGCAGCTGGGGTCCAGGCACTGCCTCCTGCGGCGTCCGAGCTCTGCCTCTCTCTGGCACGTGGAACTGGCAGGCAGGGGTTGGGTCTGGAAGATGTGCTCTGTGTGTGAGAGTGTGTGTGTGTGTGTGTGTATGTGTGTGAGTGTGTGTGCAGGCGGCACCTCGGCCCCTCACTCACTCACTCACGCCTCCCAGCTGACGTCAGGAAGAGCAGGAGGGAGGGACTGGGATGGGAATTTGTACTCTCTGCTTAAAGGGACACCAGACTCTGTCGCCTCTGGGCTAGACACCACCTCCTGAGTCAGGCATTGACAGGTGAGAGGCTCAGCTGCGTCTCTCAGGGCCTTAACGCTTCTTTTTTGGGAAAGTGGCTTTTATTGCCGGGCCACGGTGTAATTTGCCTTGCCAGGTCAGGGTAGCTGCTGAGGAATGCGAGGGAGGAAGAGCTGGCGACAACAACGCTGCATTCCTGGTAATTAGAGAGCAAGTGAGGTGGTGAGTGAGTGTGTGTGTGTGTGTGTGTGTGTGTGTGTGTGGTGTGGTGTGGTGTGTGGTACACACTGAGGGTTCCCGCGGAGTTGGGTGAGGGCTGAGCCTGGGAGGATGGAGGCCAAGCCTGAGAAGGGGCTCGAGACAAGCCAGGTTCCCAGGGACTCCCAGTCATTCCTCTCCCCTCTGGACTCAGAGTGGCTCTGTCTTCCACTAGAACTGACACTGTTAAGGCCTATCTCCTCACTGGGCTCTGAGATTCTCCAGAGGGAAAAATGTGAGCAGGTCACATGCACTCATTCCTGTCTGCCACACAGTAGGCCCTTGAGATATTTCTACTGAATTGAATTGAGTTGAAGAGGACCCTACGGTAGCGATTAGCATCCTGCGTGTACACACACACACACACACACACACACACACACGTATGCACACACCCCACCACCTGGGAGGCTCTGAGCAGAGAGGACTGACAGAATCGTGGTACCTAGCTAGATAGGTCCCTGCCTGCTCCATGAGGTGGCCTGGGCTTCCACATCAGACATGCCCTGGCTTTGAAGGGGTCTGGCCCTGTCAGGCTGTGTGGCCTTAAGCCATTCCCTCTTGTATAACTCTGATCCCCTGCTGAGCACTGAGAGGGCAATATGTCCATAAGCCTAGGGCCTGACTAGGGGAGGCCTTCACAAAGGGGCTTCTCTTCCTTCTTCTTCCCGTTTCTTCTCAACTTTGGTTTGGAAAGAAGGAAGTCTTTCCTTGGTGTCTTCCAGTACTATTGAGTCAGGCTGGCATTTTCTTTTCTTTTCTTTTTTTTTTTGAGTTGGAGTCTCACTCTGTCGCCCAGACTGGAGTGCAGTGGCCGCTCCCGGCCACCGCAGCCTCGACCTGCTGGGCTCTGGCGATCCTTCCGCCTCAGTCTTCCAAGTAGCCAGAACTATAGGCGCGCGCTACCACGCCTGGCTAATTTTTGCCTGGCTAATTTTTTGATTTATTGTAGAGATGAGGTCTCGCCAAGTTACCCAGGCGGGTCTCAAACCCGCGGGTTCAGGCAATCCACTCACCTCAGCCTCCCAAAGCGCGGGATTACAGGCTGAGCCACTGAGCCCGGTCAGGCTGGCATTTTCAAAAGAAGTCTTATTAAAATAAAAAGCAGGTGGGAGTTAAAAGGGAAACAGCCAAGAAAAATAGAAATAACTAATAAAAATAGCTAAGATGTACTGAGGGCTTCCTACGTGCCAGGCAACATGCTTTGCTCTCATTTAAACCTCACAAAAATTCAATAATTTATTTTTGTCATTCCTATTTTACTGGTGAGAAAATCGGAGCTCAGATGGGAGGAGGGATTTACTGTGTTCTTTCAGCTGGTTAGAGGAATATTTGAACCCAGAGCTATCTAAAGCTACCACATATCCCTGCCTTTCCAGAACATTCCAGAACAATAATGCTGCCCTGTTGTTACCTGAAGCCCAGAGTTCTATCTTCTTCCATCCCTAGTTTGAGGACTCTACCCAGAGGAAACTTCCTCCCCCTTTAAAATTTCATCTTCCTTTTTTTTTTTTGAGTTGGTATCTCACTCCGACTGGAGTGCAGTGGCCGCTCCCGGCCACCGCAGCCTTGACCCGCTGGGCTCCGGTGATCCTTCCACCTCAGCCTTCCAAGTAGCCACAACTACAGGCACACGCTACCACGTCAGGCTAATTTTTGATTTATTGTAGAGATGAGGTCTCGCCAAGTTGCCCGGACGGGTCTTGAACCCGCGGGCTCAGGCAATCCACTCACCTCGGCCTCCCAAAGCACTGGGATTACAGGCTGAGCCACCAAGCCCGGCCTCATCTTCCTTTTTGCCTTCTTACCCTAATAGTTTTCAAAGTACCCTCCAAAGCATCACCTACCTTGCTTCTTATAACAAGTCTGTGAGCTTCAGCTGGATAAGAAAACAGGCTCAGAAATTGTGGGACTTTGCTGAGTCACACAGCTCAGGAATGATGGAATGAGAGAGCAGAGACCCCAGGCCCCGTCTCTGGACCCATGTTTTTCAAACACTAACCTACCCTTCCAGGAGAAGGTCTGGGGCCATGGTGGACACCTGCGATTTTCCCTGCCCACTGTTTACTCTCCCATCTGCTGAGAACTGCCTGCCTGTTTCGCCTGGAGAATCACCTCTCCCCTTTCTCAGTCCAGAACCAGTGGCGGGACTTGGGGTGGGATGTTGAAGCCCAGGCCGGCTCTCCTCCTAGTGGCCCCTGAGTTGGTAGAGCCATTGGTGAGTGAGGGGTGGACTATAGGCCAATGGGTCAGCCAAGGGGGAGTGGCTGGCAGGACTTTTCTGAGCTCCAGGTGACAAGAGGAGCCAGCCTTGCCAGAAGTGTAGCATGGCAGAGGGAAGAGGTGCGCGTGTTCAGAAGGCCCTCGGGTGGGCCTGTGCTTGGTGTGGCCAAGGAACAGGACGGAGGCAGTATCGGAGGGACGGTTTGAGAGAAGGGAGCCAAGGATATGAGATGGGAAGGCTGGAAGGCAGGGCCCTGGAGGTCAACCCTGAGGAAGCTGAGGTCTGGCCGCAGTGACTGAAGTCAAGTCAAGGGCGGAGGCCCTGACCCTTCCCTCATGTCCAAACCCCGTTCCCTGGGGTCCCTCCGGATGGGCTGGTGAACATGTCTCAGGCTGACAGGCAGCCAGAGAGCGGTGAATGAAGGAGGCTGGGCTGTGATTTGAAGCAGTGTTACGATGATTCCCAACACGGGCAACAAGAGGGCACAGCTGTTCATTCAGGAAAAGAGCAGCCTGCGGCACCACCCACCCACCAGCAGCTGAGTAACAAAGAAATCGTCTGCTTGAAACCAGGGGCTCCACCGTGGAGGCTATTTTTATGAAAAGCTGAGAATTCAAAAGCTCCTCTCCTCGAAAGCCTCCTTCGCCTTGGAGAAGCTGAAGAGGTGGGTTAGAGCCAAGCAGCTCCTGTACCCTATTGATTCCACCCAAATTATGATTCCCACTCCTGTTATCAACTGTCAGCCCTCCCACGGAGCCCTTTAAGTTACATAGGCCACTAAGGTTTCGGTGCCATTTGACAGCTGATAAGGAAGCTCAGGCACAGAGAGGTCAAGAAACTTGCCCAGTGTCACACAGCTGATGATGGAGCTAGTCTTGAAGCACAGGCGCTCTGGCTTAATTACACTCTTCTTTCTGTCATGCCACACTGCCTTTAAAAGTTCTTTTCAAGGTCGGGTGTGGTGGCTCACGCCTATAATTCCAGCACTTTGAGAGGCCAAGGTGAAGCCGCGGTGGCTCAACCTGTAATCCCAGCACTTTGGGAGGCTGAGGTGAGTGGATTGCCTGAGCCCGCGGGCTCGAGACCCACCTGGACAACTTGGTGAGACCTCATCTCTACAATAAAACCAAAAATTAGCTGGGCGTCGTAGTGCACGCCTGTAGTTCCAGCTACTTGGAAGGCTGAGGTGGGAGGATCGCCGGAGCCCAGCAGGTCGAGGCTGTGGTGGCCAGGAACGGCCATGGCACTCCAGTCTGGGTGACAGAGTGAGACTCCAACTCAAAAAAAAAAAAGAGAAGCCAAGGTGAGAGGATTATCTGAGCCCACAGGTTCAAGACCAACTTGGGCAACTTGGTGAGACTTCATCTCTACAATAAAAAAATTCGCAAGGCATGGTGCACTTGCCTGTGGTTCCAGCATTCTTGGAATGCTGAGGTGGAAGGATCTCCTGAGCCTGGCAAGTTGAGGCCCTGGTGGCCGTGAGCATGCCACTGTACTACAGCCTGGTGACAGAGTGAGACTCCAACTCAAAAAATAAAAAGGAGCCGGGCTCGGTGGCTCAGCCTATAATCCTGTGCCTTTGGGAGGCTGAGGTGAGTGGATTGCCTGAGCCTGCGGGTTCGGGACCCACCTGGGCAGCGAGACCTCATCTCCACAATAAATCAAAAAATCAGCCGGGCGTGGTAGCGCATGCCTGTAATTCCGGCTACTTGGAAGGCTGAGGTGGAAGGATCGCCAGAGCCCAACAGGTCGAGGTTGCAGTGGCCTGGAGCGGCCACTGCACTCCAGTCTGGGTGACAGAGTGAGACTCCAACTTAAATAAATAAATAAAAAGAAAATAATAAAATAAATAAAAGTCTTTCCCAGTCCCCTGGGCATGCATCTCCTCTGTAGTGGAACTCATCTGCAGCCTATACTAACATTTTTTGCTTCATCAGAGTGGTCCTTTCTTCCTCTCCCCTTTTCTTCCAGTCGCCTCCTCCAAGCTGACTACCTCCTTCTGCCAGAGAAGATGTTTTTCTGCAGGTCTCACCCCACAATTTGCTCTATCATTCGCACATGCAGCAAAGTATTTACTGACCACATACTATGTACTCGATGGCCTGGGCTCTGGGAATATGGCAGTGAACAAAATAGATATGTTCCTTGAGTTCATGAAGATCATGGCTCATCTAGAGAGACACAGATGATACAAAATACACAAACAAATAAATGTATAATCATAAATTATGAAAAACAAGCAGGGTGAGACGATGGAGACGAGGAGGGGAGGAGTCTACCTGCTGGCATGGCAGGCTGAGGAAGGGCCTCTCCCAGAAGAGGCCCTGTAAGCTGAGCCCGAAGGGTGAGAAGAAGTCGCCTTGTAATTTTGTTTTGAGTCAGAGTCTCATTCTGTCACCCAGGCTGGAGTGCGGTGGCACCCTCACGGCCACTGCAGCCTCGACCT